TAAAATAAATCAAATACAAGAAATTTCAAACTTTGGGAATTTGGTTGGATGAAAACGGAAGAAAACAGTGTAAAATTTTGCTGAATTTAGAATTCATCATGTAATTCAAAAATTGGTGTATTCCAATTCTATTAAATTTGGGCAATTTCCACATATACTACAAACCACAGCGTACTGTCATTGCCACCATCATCCGACTGCTCGTTGCCATATACCAACTCGATAGCAATCCTCCTCCACCATCATCATCAAAGCAGGCAGCCTGCCGCTGCCACAGACGGCAGCCAACCAGTGATCGCCTGCCATCTTAGTTGCCACTTGCCACCCAATACTGCCACCCACCACACTCAATCACCAAACGCAACCAGCACTGCCACCGTTCACCGCCTCCACTATTGTCAAACATGTTTTTGACATTAATTTCATTTTTTTTCCAAAGCAAACACAAAAATGTAGATTACTACATTTACTTTATACCAAACTAAACAACTTCAAAGTATTTCAAATATACTATTTTAATTATTTTGTATTCCATTTGGATTGCATTCATTTTTCAGCAAAGTAAATAGTCCCATGGTCAAAGTTTTGTGATTTGTAACTTTATCATATGGCTATAACTTGGAAACAAAGGAAAACGATTTGGGCATTGAAGGAAAGATTGTTTCTAAAGCTAAATTTTGGGAAATCCTAAAAGGCTGTTGCTTTTAGGTCATTCCAATTATAAATAAAAGATACCTAAAAGCACATATCCAATTCAAATTATGGTTGAACATTTATTTATCTCATGATATAGTGTGTATTATATGATGTAGATTCCTCGAATTCTTTGCTAGTCTTGAAGCCAACTTCAAAAGGATGCTTCTTCTCTTACTGGTTTGAGATCTAGATATTTACTTGCTTCTATTATTGTTCTTCTAAACTATTTGTATTTATGCATAATTGAGATTTGTCAAATCTATTATAATCTGATTTTTTTATTTTTTTTATTTTTTTTATTTTTTATTTTTGTGATGATCAGGTTAGGAAAAGAGATGTTTAGGGTGCGTTTGTGGAAGCTTTTTAGCTACCAATGCAGCCCCTAAATGCATAAAAAGGTGTTTGGAAAGAATGATGCAACATTTTTTTGAGATAAGAAGATGTAAGCGTGGGTCGCAAGTTTGACCCCGTGGCCCGCATTTTGTTCGCGAGAAATATCTCTCGTGCCCTTGAGTTTTGTTCGTGTGCCCCTTTTGCTATTATCGTGCTTCTCTCACGTATCTTTGCCCTAGCTCCCTTTTCATCTTCCCCATTAACTCCGGTCGACGGTTCTGGTGCCATCTCTCATCTCCTTCCTTCATCCCTTCTCTCCAATCTCCAGTTCCTGTGACACTCGCCCATATCCCCTTATGGTATTCTCTACCCTATACTACTGGAGTTGATATTCTTGGTTCGGGTCTTGAGGTTTGCCCTGTGCGACTTGCTCTTTGTAATTTTTGGCTTTGCTCTATTTATAGTTTATGGCATTTTTTTCATTGCCCATGTTTGACCTTTGTTGATCTATGTTGGAAGGGTTTTGTTAGCCCCTTTGCAATTTATGGCATTTAACATTACATATGTTGGAAGAGTGTGAATTGAGGCCCTATGTCATTTCTGGCATTGCCCTTACTTTTCATTTTCTGATCCATGTGATTTGATTTTTGTGATTTGTTGGCCTCTTGAAAGAAATTTTATTTTAGAATGTTTTGTATGACACAACCCGTACTCATGGATCCTTTGGAAGAACTGCACAAGAATCATAGACTTCCTGGCTCCTCCAGGATGACTTTCAGAGAGATGTTAGCAATAACCATCTATATTTTATCATAAAATGAACCTGTGAGAGGGAGTCATGAAGCGATTCTAACACTCATTTGAAACAAGCAATGGAAGTTTTCAATTAAATTAAATACTCTGGTTAGTTTATCATCATAAATTATCAAATTTGAGAGCCCAACAAAGGACCCCATAGGGATTTCACAAAACCAACATTATATGTCATATTTTAAGGTAAATTCATGCATTCATATTCTCTTGAATTCAATGGAGCACATTAATTCAAATATCTTTGTTAAATGTTTTAGAATTGTGTTGGAGCAATTGATGAAACACATGCGGATGCACGTGTGCCAAACAGTGAAAAGATCGCATTCATCAGGTGATTCGGTTCACTAATACAAAATATTATGATAGAATGTGATTTTAACATGTGATTCACTTTTGCTATGGTCAAATGGGAAGATAGTGCACACAAAGTCGAATATTCTTTGTTATTACTTTATTTGTAATGTATTGCGAAAACACTTACATTTTGAAACTCAATTTAGTGGAAATTTTATTTCTAGTTCTTTTGGATGTATTTTCCCACATGGATGACCTGTGAGGCAACCGTGAGTATAATATCTAATGAGTATTTATTGCATATTTTATATTTTGGTTTAGAGGTTAATGATGAGATATTCGACCTTATGAATTCTTCTAGATGGCCCATATGTTGTTATTGTTTCTTGACACGTATGAAATCCCAATACAGACAACCAAATACTTCTCATTTTTCAGTCGTATGATTGTTGGAGTTCTTCTGAAAGGTCTTTGTGGTGATATACAGATATGATACATACGAACTCGGTAATACGTAGTCTAAAGGCAACCAATAACCCTTACTGTCTTCCTGTAGTGACAGATTATTTGTTGGTTGATACTTTGCCCTCTGAGATCTCACAATTTTATAAAATTTTAATTGATTATTTCTATTATTTTTCATTATTAATGTTGCATCTAAGGATATACTTTGTGGTTTTAAAACTTCAGAAAAGATAAGCTCGAGAAGTTTTGGTGCCTCCAGAGCAATATACTGCTATTGTGGACTGCAATGTTTTCTACTTACTTCGTGCAAACACATAGTTATGAGCGATAATTTTATAGGGGCCTAAAGAATAAAATAAAAAACTATGACTTCTTTAGGTGGGTGGATCAGTTCGAGGATTCCACCATCGATAGTGATCAAGAGTGGAGAATTTCGTTAGAGGGATAACTTCGTGATATTAACCGGCTGCATTTTAAAAACAATATTATAATAATATTAATTATTATTTTAATATTCTTATTTTTAATTTTTATTGTTGCACTACACACTATTTAGTGAAATCTAATTTTTGTTTTAAAATATTCAAACTGGATATTTATTTTTAAGTATGAAATATGCAAGCATGACTGATTTTGTTATAACAACACTATACTAAAGGGGCATAAATGTCATTTGTTTGTAAATAGCTGCAGCACAGTCGTTAAAAAACTGCACAAAACAAACAGACACCCAACTTCCTCGCAACTTTTTCCTGGCACGGCTGATGCGCAACAACTTTTTAATAAGCTGCAGCTGCCCCAAACAGACCCTTAACTTATGTTAAGAAAGATGGGGGTAGTCAAAAAAATACTTGGGCTTATGGTATAAAAAATGATCTTAATTTATTAAAATTAAATTAAAATATGACACTTAATAGAACACAACGGAGAAAAAATGATTCAGGTAGCCGACCCCACTTAGTGGGATAATTGCTTGTTTTTTGGTTGTTATTGTACTTTTTGTTGAAAGTTTAATCATTGCAGAATTTTATGTTCGTTGTCAAAATTTTTTTATTAAATTTAAATTTTATTCACAATTAAATTATTGTTTGAAATGAATAAAGGATGTTCTTTTATTTTTAATCAAAAGGGATTAAAATATTTCTGAATTTTTAATCAAAAGGAGCTAATCTTTTCTTAAATTAAAAATTAGAAAACTGCAAATTTTGAACATTTGTGTTTCTTGATGCATCTCACGACAAATTTGTCTTAGGGTGTGTTTGGGGCGGCGGTGCGGTGGCGGTGTGGTGCCGCATCGTAATTTTTTTTGTTTTGCAAACCTATCTGCGTTCTCAAAAAGCTGCAGCTGAAAGCTGCATTTTCACACTAGACTTAGCTATTGCGATCGCTGTCAGAAAGCCACGGTTTGACTTTTTCGACTTTTTAAAAAAAAAAATTATAATAGCCACCGCAGCTTTTTGAATAGCGGTTTCTTCTTCACACCTTCTGCAGCTACCCCAAACAGACCCTTAGTCCCTAAACCCAATGACATTCAACATCACAAACTCTTTTATTATTTTCCTAATCATGTCCATCTTTCTTCAAGTTTTCATTTAGGCCAACTAATACTTTTCATGAATGTATTTTGTTTTTTGAAACATGCAATTTAAATTGAAATTTTTATCAGTTACAAACCTTGCACTCCCAATAACTTGGCATAGAGTTACTTTTCCTGAAGGATTTGCCACGTAAAATGTCAAACAATTTTTTTTTCTATTAACTGTTTGCAGATTAGTTAAGCATAAATTTTGAACTTGAATTCTAAATAACTCATTGGTTCTATCAAAATTAATTATTAAAAACAGGCAAATGACAAATATATTTTCATTATTATTAGACAATTTCAAATATTTGTATTTTGTGGCACTGAACCTTTAATCCAAATGGAGACATTGTTATCTTCTCTGTAGCAAACTTTATTACCTAAAGTTTTTGCAATCAATGAGCACACTAACACCTTGCCCAAGACATGTGAAGGTAAGAAAAAAATAGGCCATGCGTGCTAACAAATGTTCAAGCGGATTATAAGTGTTTTAACTAGGTTATGTCCAAATATACATTGGAAGTGCTAAAAAAAAGCATCAAATGAAAATATGGCAAAGATAATATACTCCTACGATAAAATAGTATTCACTTGGATGAAAATGCACATCAATTATTGCTAAAAAACTACAAGATGAGCAGATAAGAACCAGAGAAAGTATTGCAACTCCTTAATCATTTATCGAGAGTGAAACAAAGTATCCTCAAACTCACAGTAACTAAACTACAATTATCATCTCATCACGCCACAACAAAGTTAAATTATCACTCATATTCATTGAAAACATTTTAAGGAAGCATGTGTTAGAAAAATATTTCAAGCAGTAAAAAAAACTTACACGTCTGCAAATCTCGTGCCTCCTTCACCTCGGATTCTAAGTTGTCTATCCCAACCAGGAGGTGGTTGAGCAATGTTAGGTTTATCAATGGCCCAAAGCCTACTTCCATCTTGCAAAATGTCTGGCGGATCTTCACAGGATATATCAGGTCGCCATTCACGAGCCCTTTCACATACAAAAGGTACTTGTAAAATACTTTCACGTATCTGCTCATATTTCTCTTTCGTTGGAATAAGCCTCCACTTAAAGCATGATGCACATTGAACGGTAAATGCCCCCACGGATGGAAGAGCACGACTAGAAGGATTTGGTGTTGCAGAGTTCAATGGTACAAGATGATCCACAACGTGATTGGAACCAGGATTCAAATCCTCACCAGTGCTTGAACCAGATTTAAAAACAACCAATTGGTTTGCAGAAGTTCTATTGATTTGTACATTGCTATCCTCGGCATCAATAGTCATTTGATCTGGTTCCTTCTTTTGACTCCTCAGTAGTAGCCGGGATGAACTACGAAACTCCTTTTTAACAGTGGGTGACTCATCTCCAGAGTCTGATGGCATCAGCATCGACACAAAGCAAACTGTACATAGAAAAAGCACAATAATGAAACCATAGGATATTGAAAAAAAAAGACAAATTGAAGCAGGAAATCAATTCAAAATTACAAATAAAAAACTTATACAATGGATCACATGTTAAAACCAAGAATATTCTTGCTTGAAGCCATTAATGGGGATAGAAATGAGACAAGGATAAGCTTTGGAAAAACATATTCTTTTCATCATGCTAGATCATAATGACCAGAAATAAACAATCCAAATATAATCATTTTAGTTTAAAAAGACAACAATAAAAGAAAACAGCTTTAAATTTAATAAAATACTTTGCCTCCACAAAAAAAAAATCAAACTAAATCAAATAAAATGCATAATGAAGTCATTGTACTACAATGGATAGGTTGGGAAATTTTAATTGAATGGTAGGAATTATTCAGCATAGATTCTAAGGCAAGACCAAAAAATTATGATTGTTCTTCAAACTTCGCTTGGGGGTTTTGCGTATACATGGTGTGATTCAAAATCAAACTAACTTCGGAGTAGAAATCTGTCATTACCCACTTGATTTGGGAATGATAATGGGGAAGCTTGTGGAACCGATAGGATCATGTGAAACCTAAGGGACTGTTTGGAACCGTTTTTCGTTTTCTATTTTTTATTTCAAAAAACAAAAAATGTGTTGTTTCCTGTTTTTTTATTTTGTTTTCAAAAAACACAAAACAGGAAAAATAAGTTTTTTTTTTTTCAAAACAGCTCCCCACCTATCACATTCCCGATCTAAACCCGACCCCATTTCCAGTGCCTTCTTCGACACCGGCGCCTTCTATGGAGTCGACGCAGACATCGACACCTGCCGACACTGATGCCTTCTCCAATGGCTTCTTCTTCTCCAACAGTGCTTCTACATTTTCTTCTTCCGGTCATTTTGCTCACTCCTTACTTCGCACCGCAGGCTATAAATCATTACAGAGATTCCAGTGAGGGTGTTGGTCAAGAGATGAGGATCTGTGAAGGAGAGCAAAGTGGAGCTCATCGACTTCATTGGCACAGTTGCAACGGTAAAGCTGTGGTTCTTTCGCCAGTGGAGGAACAGAGGAAAGCAGACCAATGGGGTGGCGATGGGGGAGAGGGTTGAGATAGGAAGAGGAGGAGAAGGCGGTGGTGGGGATAATAATATTTTACTAGTTTTTGTTTTTCCAAACATATTTTTTGCTTTTTATCTTTAAAAATAGAAAAATCATGGCGTGCCAAACTTGTTTTTGATTTATGTTAAAGAAACAACAAAACAAACTACAAAAAAGTAAAAAACACAAAACACATAACAAAAAGTGATCTCAAATGGCCCCAAATGTTTTTTGAACTCTCGAGTCTCATGCAACAATCAAGATCTCACCTGGGATTGGATGAAAGTTTTAGGGTATTTCAAAGTTCTTTAGTGTAAAAAACATTGCTGCAAGCAAAGAAAAGTAGAATTCAAGAATGGGTGGCCATGGTAAAATGACATGAGAAGGATCTAGAGTGAAACAAGGTTTGATGTTTGTCATTCAAGATGATTTCCCCAATCCCTAATTAAGGTTTCCTTGGTGTTCCTTATGCAATACTAAGTTAGAAGAGAGGACTTAGTTTGTAAGGGTAGAAGGTCATTGGATATCGCTTTGGGATCTGCACTCGATACTTAAAATTGCCTCCTTTTTTTATGTATCGATCAAGATAAGTTAATCCAAAAATAAATATGAGAAAGAAAGTGTGATCACCAAAATATAATAGATAGGATAAAGATAGTTCAATTGCCAATGATTCAATACAAACTTTGAAAAAAAAAAAGCTTCCATAAAAGCTAATATTAATAAAATCTAATAGATAAAAAAGTGATAAAAATCTTGAAAAGGATTATTTCGTTGTTATGCAAGAGGATAAGATATCCACGTCCTCTTTCTTATGATAGCTGGTTAAATTTACTTGAAAGCCCATTAAATAGGACTGATAAATTCAGATTAAATTCATGATAATCCATGAATGTTGAATTCTAGTTATCCTCCAACAATAGTGGTTAATTTCCCCTTAAATAGGAAGAATATGGAAATGAATCTTCAAGCTTTTAAATTTACTTCCCTGGAATTGAATTTGGAAATAACCTTCTCTTTCCTCGTGCATGTGGATTGCCCCTCCTTAGGAAGTTAGGTTTAAAATTTGAAATGAGGTTCTCTTAAAATGTAGCCATTTATGTTACCATAAAGTGCATAATATGAACCGGACATTTGGGATTGCCATAGGTTTAACATTGAGTATGATACATGAGCTGAGCTTCAGCACAGGCTTGATGCAACCAACCACAATGCTAGGGTGTCCAGTATCATGGCATGGTTCTACCCTATGCCACATTGCACGCAAGCTGTTTAGGCATAAAAAAACAATGTTTCTAATAACGTTGACCCCAGTGTAGCCAAGAACACATCGATATGGAAACAAGCCTAGTCGCCAATGTACCGTGAAGTCTAATAAATTCAATACTTTCATGCTTTGAAAATTTTAGAGAAGCCTTTGATCCTAGCAGTCAGGACATGTAAAAGATACCATATTTGCAGTCAAAATACAAGAAAAAATAGTGTGCTATGAATATTGTCTGAATTTGCATTGTATCGGTACAATTTAAATTTTCAAATAACATTAACCCATTGAAAATATGAAGTCTAAGAAATAATTCCATGTGTGAGGGAAAAAAAACCATGAAATTTGCTTGTGAGCGCATCATTTATTGTTCCTCTAAACTGGCAAGCTTTTGGAGTACCACCAAATTATTAAACAGAGTTAATGCATTAAGTGTATATGTTTGTAGCACATTAGCACCATGACTAATCAAATGAAAAGTGGAAAAGAATTTACAATTCAGATTTTAAATTTTGTATTTTCTCATACAAAAGCTTTTTCAACATTACAAAAATACATTATAGCTTCATCGTCATCACCATCACCAATTGCCTCGTCCCAATCATTTGTGATTGATGCTATTAATCCCCCTTCAGGGTCAAATTATACTGATTGAATGCCTACATGTCTAATAAATAACACAACAAAAATGCATATAAATAGTTAATGATGCTAATGATAGTAAAGCAGCTTTTGAAGGATCTAAAGTTCATAAAAGGAATTAAAATATTTTCATAGAAGTTCGAGTTGTATTTTCTTCTAGAAATATATCTTTTTTTATCACAATACCAAACATGATACATTAATTCAAGTGGGCCAATTAGGGGGGCTAGGGTTCCAATGCAAGTTAAGATGATAAATGAGAACCGAAAAAATTTTCAATTCAAGATATCTTTACATAATTTTAGTAAAATCTTGTTTCTAATGAAAGGATGTGGTAAACACATTATTCATTCTACTTGTTCACAAGAAAACTTCGTGGCATGTAGGGCTGTCAAAGCGGCCCGTTGTTCACGAATAACTCGTGTTCGGCTCGTTAAGCAGCTCGTGTTCGGCCCTTTCGTTAAACTTAACGAGCCGGATAAGAATAAATTTTAAAGCTCGAAATATAAACGAGCCAAACACGAACAAATATTTGTTTGATCGTGTTCGGCTTGAATTGACTCGAAAAGAAATAAATAAATTCATAAATAAATAAAAATATAAATATACTCAATATTCTGCAGTGTTATTGGTGTTATTGGTAATATTCTGCAGTGTTATTGGTGTTACCACCAATAACACCCGCTGTGTTATCAGTGTTTTTCCTCCATCCGCGATGTTATTCCACGGTGTAACACCGCTGAATAACACCAATAATACTTTGGAATAACACCAACACCTGCGGTATTATTCCGCCGTCTGCGGTGTTACTCGGGTGTTATTCCACGGTGTTATTCTGTGGTGTTGCACCGCGGAATAACACCAATAATACCGCGGAATAATGGCCTGATCTGTTTCGGTGTTACTCAGGTGTTATTGCGTGTGTTATCGGTGTTATTCCACCGTCCACGGCATTATTGGCGAGATTCCACGGTATTTTTTATTCTATCGAGCCTATTTCAAGCCGAACATGTCAAACCCGAACAAGAATACATATTTCGAACCGAACAGGAGCTAAACATGAACAAGAATATGTTATTCTAGTCAAACATGAACACATTGTTCATTAGTCATTTCGAACACGGGCCAAATTGGAACGAGCCGAACACAAGCCGAAGCTCAGCTTGCTCAAGCTCGGCTCATTTACAGCCCTAGTGGCATGATCAAATTGAACAACTTCTAAAGATCATGCTTTAAAAAAAATACTATGCTATTAAAAAAAATCTCATTTACTCACATAAAATCATTGCTAAGCAATTTAAAAGATAAGAACATAAATTATCTCAAAAGGGAAGATAAGAATATAAATTATCTCGAAAGGATTCAAATTAGGAGTAGAAGCCATTCTAGAAATCTCAATTCGAAAAGTCGTACAGTTTTCTTACAGGTATCATACTTTAATAGATGGTAGTAAAAAACATATTTCTACCATAAAAATTTCTAGAAAGCAGGAAGAAAATAGTAGCCAAATGAAGCTATAGTGGCAATTTGAAAAGCAAAGCAGTAAAAAATCAATCCCAAACATACCCTTAGTTATATGCTTTTGACTAAGCTATCCAACAAAAAAAAGAGAAGCAAAGATACTATTAATAGATATGCTACTTTAGCACACCTTAAACAAGAGCATGCATTATATGTTTTCTGGTTAAACTGAGGCTTGTACCCCAAATTATTACAATCTAGCAATCAATGCTGTTTGGATGAGAAGATTGGAGGGCTTAGGGATAAAAATGGATCATACATCCCATGATCTGATAAATCCTTATTTAGGCATGATTTTCAAAATCTTGGCATTTACTAGATCTATTCCAAATAAGGATTATGGGATTTAAGGAAGGTCAAGCGTGCAAATCTACTTATGTAAATAAAACTTTGAATATGATTTAATTTCCAATTAATTTAATCAATCACTAACTAGCAACCTCAACCTCCAATTGGACAATATTAACGCTCA